GACCTCTCGTATCCCCCTTGCGGGCGGGACGCCAAATTAGGTAATAATGAACAAGTCCCCTGTGGATTCATACATTTGTCATCACCAGGTTGCCCCTATAATAATACCATCTGACTTCTAAAACACGCTGTTGGTAGAGAATTTGAACCGAAACTTTAATTTTCTTTCCAGTACACAAAAAAAGTCTTTGGGCCATACTTAAAATATGTTTTCTTCTTGTTGATTAAACATAAAAACAATCCTCAGAACACGGGAAATCGCTTCTGAGACTTTCTAGAAAACACATTTTTTGGGGGGGATATCCCCCAAACCCCCCTTACGGAGAGGGGGTCTGTACCCTCCCCCTCCTCGCGCTACGCGCTCGGGCTGCTGCCTTTCGCAGCACACCGTTGACTATTGAGAAAAATTTCTCGGCCCCCACTTTTAGGAAATCCTGGATCCGCCCCTGCAAAGTATATGTTTCTTAAAAACTGTTGTTTTATAATTTATATACTTGATGCAAAAACAAAATCTAGTGAATAGTTACAGTTAAAAATCCTTTAAAACCAAGAGACACGGGTGGCAAGGGGGCGACCGGCTCATATTGGTATCTTAGTATGGTCAACAACTATATACTCCGTTTGTTTACATAGCATATTCCTGTCACACGTTATTTATCTCATTTCCAACTCATTCTTCAATTTATTTTCTCTCTCGAAGATACAAATTGTATGATGGTAATATTGAACCCGCCTTATCTTTTTTTCTAGTGAAAACTTAGATTGTTTTACTTCCGGTATTTGTAAATACTTGTACAGTTCGTCGACAACAGATTGTTTAACCATAGACTATGCGTCACATACGTCACACTTAAACCGACATACTTAATCTGGTAAACATACCTAACGATTACATATCCCAGGAGGACTGCTTCCAAAGTCAGTGGATACAGTGAACACGCCTTACTGGTTTTGTGACTTACAAATATTACTAAGTATCTTCTAATTCTTACTGACAATTTTTTTTATTTTTTTGTTATGCTTTTATAGTATAATCAATTCGGCAAATGTTGTTTAATGTGTAGGGTAGTATGAAATCTTACCTCTAACACAAATCACAATTATAATGTTTAAGGTAGTATATGTCCTTAACTCTTAACACAAATCACAAATATTTTGTTCAACTTTAATCCGAAGGACTGATGTAATGTGTAAGATAGTATATGTTCATAACTTCAACAAAAATCACAGGTATAATGTGTAAGATAGTATATATCTTTAACTCTAACAAAAATCACAGGTATAATGTGTAAGGTAGCATATGTCCTTAACTCTAACACACAACACTGGTTTAATGTGTAAGGTAGCATATGTCCTTAACTCTAACACAGATCACAGGTATAATGAGTAAGGTAGGATATGTCCTTAACTCTAACACACAACACTGGTATAATGTGTAAGGTAGCATATGTCCTTAACTCTAACATACAACACTGGTATAATGTGCAAGGTAGTATATACACACAACACAGGTATAATGTGTAAGGTAGTATATGTCCTTAACTCTTACACAACGCTGGTATAATGAGTAAGGTAGCATATAACCTTAACTCTAACACACAACGCTGGTATAATGTGTAAGGTAGTATATGTCCCTAACTCTAACACACAACACTGGTATAATATGTAAGGTAGTATATGTCCTTAACTCTAACACACAACACAGGTACAAATAAAATATATCCTTAACTTTAACACAAACCATAGGCATACGTTTTAAGTAGAATTTATAACCTTAACTCTAGCACAGATTGTTTCTATTTTTAGTTAAAGGCGTCGATTAGTGTTCAAAGACATTTAATTTTATTGTTGGCAATATAATATTTAAATTGGTGTGCTGTCTTGTAATTTGAAATTGACTGACAGAGTAATTCTGAGGATCTTCTTAGCATGCAAATTCATGACAATTAGTCTTTTGTATTTCGCTTTCAAATATCTCAAATATATCAGCTTGAATCATGTACAAGGACAGAAAATTGTCATATAAATAACGATATTCAATACCAAAGTCATATTTTAAAGTTCACAAGAAGATAACACTGATCCCGCATAGAATGTGTGTTAGATTAAACCTATAGTCCCAACCTTCCTTGTCCGATAAAACATGTTACCACCGAAAACTTGAGAGGCGAGGTTAAAAGTCGCCGATGTGTCACTTACAACATATAGACGATAGCGGAGTTAAAAACGGCCTGCAAGACAGCCATTCAACCAAACAATTTGTGTTCAATGTTTTTCAATAAATATACGATTTTAAAAATAATTAATCCTATTTAAATGTAAGATGATATTACACCGGTATATGAATTTCTGTTAAATACCTTAATCAAGGATTTCATTTTTATTTTGAAGGCACATATTTTTTTTGGTCCCTCTATTGGGATGCACACATGCGAGTTATCCCCCTTTTATCACTAAAGCAAACTTTCGAGTGACCTCTGAGCGGGTAAGACAGCTCACCAGGTCGAGGATTGAGAACAAAGTATACCTGCTGTTACCCATTGCTTGCTGTAAGAGGCAACTAATGTGGGAACCCGCTGCAGAATCGGGGATTTCCTTTTGTGTCATTAACTTATATATGTGTGTGTTAGATTAGAAACAAAACTATGCACACAAAAGCGACAGTTGTCACAAATCACCGACCTCCACGCGATTTTGATATAACTAATGATGATGTAGGGAATGTCTGCCATCTAATATATGTACAAGTTGTACCATTTGGCGTATATGGTGTATGAATTTACCATTTCAGATTGAAGAACAGGTATGGTGTTTTCTCTTGTGTCTGCAGGTTTGGTCCTTCGTAACATCGACGTTTCCAATAGCACTTTTATTCCGACATGAAATTATTATGATGACTTTCTAAATTTTCTTCATTCTTCAGATAATAAATTTAAAATATCTAATTTAATCTAGGAACTATTTTTCTACTCCTGTAATATGGATTCTTGGAATAATTTTAAATTGTTTTCTATGACTTGTACTAAAAGTATCTTAAATAAACTTTTAACAACAATAAAAATAACAAAACATCGATAATGTAAGTTAATTGATTTCCGCCATTTTCCTCTGCTAACGACATTAATATTTGGGAAGATATGAATTCGTGAAGGGAGAGACCGAACACAATTCGTCCAGATTATTGCCAGAAGAAATGTTTGCTAGAGTCTCCAGTTCGCTTTGGCGGGTTTTCGTCTTTTCATTATTTCGTTTTTTTGCTTGGCGTTATTTTGCGGGCGACAAAGCGAAAAGACGAAATGTCATATATACAACGCCACTATACTCCAGCCATTTAGTAACGCGAAAAAGGAAACGTGTTAGAAAATCTAAGCGATCTACGTCAGCCAACTCCATCCTTCGAATTCCCGTGGTTACGCTCACCTTCTTTCTCCTAACCCCTGGAAAATGTCATGGCGAAATCGAAAGCTGTGTACGCGCCACCTTGCGGATGATGCAAGCAGACTAGAATTGCGCGACAGGCTTACGGTAAAATTGACTGACATTGAAGTCGGATATCGCTCCAGTGTTCTGTTCAAAGCTTAGTTATCAGCCAAGTGAGTGGTCTGTATTTATAACTGAAACTAGTCAAATAGCGTACTGCGCGCGTGGCTTCGATTTTGTTATGACGTAGTTCATTTGCATACATGCACAAGGACGTAAGTGAGTGTCACTTCTGTAATTTCGAGGATGTTCGTGGTGGCATTGTAGCTCCATTGATAAATAACATGTTATTATTTTTCACTAATCTTGATTAACTGTTTTATCATGTATACGTAAGCATGATTTGGCAAATGTTAAAAAAACCCATTCCGCATTTTTAATATTTCTGAGTTTATAAATAACCCAAACACATTTTATAATGACACTTTTTAAAATGTATGTCAAGAAGGTGAATGGAATTTTGTTTTGCATATTTTAACAGCCAATAATAATTTTGAAGGTACATCTAGACTATATCTAGACTACACTAACGTTCTCAATTTTCTCTGCTTCGGTTGATGATTGAAATGTATTTTTTGGTTTTGGTTATGTTTTGTCAAGCATATGATATCATTTGCATTGACATTTCAATTTAATGTTGCAATTTATAAGATACCAAGTTTAGTCTTGCGTTAAGTTTTATGATTGTTTATGAGTATTTTTACTCTCTTTTTTTTTGTCTGATAACCTGTGATATTCCTTAAATTTCTTTGCATCACAAATGATACACGCGTAAGGCGTAAATGATACCGGAAGTTATTCTTGTTCAACAACTTCCGGTCTGACCTCCAAAGCTGTAGATTTTCATGTTTACATTCTTTACAGCGTCACTTCCTGTTCACAATTCCTTTAATATATTTTGTATTATGTGATGCCATGTTGATGTATTGTATCAGGATAGCCCGCTTTTAACCAAGAAATGTGTAATATTTTATCTACTTTGACTGTATTACTGTTTAAATAACCCGCTTGTGTAATATTTCCATAATTTATTGATCTTTTTTTTTTCTTGAAATAATGTCAAAGCCATGAGTAATGTCGTGGGTAAAAATGTGATTTTATAATATATATATATATATATGAAAATGTCTTAATATCATGTGACATCGAGATGACGTTTTTACCAAAAATGGTATGTTTACATTTTGCGCAGCCCGAAAAGAGCGTTTCAGTGCAGTATTTCCGACTTATTGAAAATCAATCACATACGAATGTTATATACACGATCTTTCCTTGTTGGTGAAATCCCTCGAACCCGTTTAATGACTGTATATTTTGCTGCATTTCCTATTATTATTTATTATTTTTTCTTCTTTCTTATTCTTCTTCTACAACTTCTTCTTCCTACAAAACGTTTTCGGGTATTTTTCCCCAGATATTCTTGCCGGATGCATGTATGGATGTGCTTAACTCGTTTCATTATCTGATCAATCATCAAACATGGTATAACTTGCCCCTACTTGATAGACACATTTACGGTTATACGCCAAGGCGCTCAAACTAAGTATGTAAGTGCAATGTGGCAATGTGGAAATGCAAGCTCTTGTCAGCTATCATTTTGGACTACGATAGCAGTTCAAGAGACGATTGCAAGAGTATCCGTTAAAATAAGAACTTGTTATATTTGGTTTGAATAGACAGGTATCACATATTTAGGAGGCGGGGTCGCCTAGTGGTATGATAACGGGCTCGTGACAGAAGGGTTGCGAGTTCGACTCTCGTCATGGCACTGTGTTGTATCTTTGAGCAAGATACTTTACTCCGCTTGTTCCAGTCTACTCAGCTGTAAATGAGTAATTGGTTGGGCAGTGCAAGAATTGTAAAATGCTAGATGTGAGCGCCGAAATGGCAGCACCGGCTGTATGCTCCCCAAGGGAGTTGAGAAAGGTTTTGGCTGGTTGCAAAGGCTCTATAACCACGGATAATAATTTGTGAACCGCTTTGAGACGACCTACAAACTAGGTTGTGATAAAGCGGTATATAAGAACCTCGAGTTATTATTATTATTATATAGTATATAGCCATTTCCTTTAGATCTGAAAGGCTTTTGAAACTTTTCTTTAACAATAACGTTGATTATTGAATTAAGATGTGAAGTCTATATCCGTCCATGCGTTAACGATCAGTTCATAAAGGTCAAGCACTTAATCTTTCGGTAAGCTGTCGCTTCCATAAGCTTTGTGGCGTCCTCAAACGCTCTTCAGTGACATCAAATAGCTACCCTAAATTTATCATAATCCTGATTATAAAATGAGATATTTTCCGGAATCAAATTCTTTCTAGATGTGAAACTTCCATAATCCTGATTATCAAATATGCGTTTTCCGAGATCAACTAATTTCTATAAACAGAAAAGATTTACGTTGAATGTGTTTAAACCGATTCTTAAGCTATAATCAAAATAGATAAAGTACAGCTATATATTAACTAACAACACAGACGGGCATATCTAGCTAAACGGTTTTGAAATAACCTTTTAGATTTAAGCCGGTTTCCATTAGGACAGTATAAAACCTCGATAAATGCCCTTTGTTTCATTTGCCATCTCGATAACCGCTAACATCAATATTCATTTCAGTTGTTTTCTTAAGAATTCTAGGGCCACGGTGGCTCAGTGGTTAAGTCGTTTGACATTCTGCTACCACTTGGTCGCGGGTTCGAGACCTACGTTGAGTATTCGCCAGGTACTGGCCGTTGGTCAGTGGGGGTTTTCTCCGGGAACTCCGGCTTTCCTCCACCATCAAAACCTGGCACGTCCTGAAATGACCATAGCTGTTAATAGGACGTAAAACACAAACAACCCAAATCTTAGGAATTCCTTTATGAATTTTCCTCTATTTATCGCCAAATGACTTCATAAAGGTTTTACTGCAACAGTTTACCAACACTATCGACTTGAAAACATTTGTCACGGTCGTGTTCGAAATAAAACAGCTCATGATAAAATGTGTTAGGAAAAAGGGGGCATGCACATTTTTTCTGATGATCGCTGTAGGATTTGCCCATGAATTTTAACACACCCAGGGGAATGTACAATCTAGACCATATCATAAAAGCATAGGAGATCCTCATCCAAAAACGAGCATCCATTGTTGCTGAGTATAGAGAAAACGAACATACTTTACTACTATGATTCGGGACTTAGTCCTATGAAGCATAGAAACAGGATGGTTGGGAAGCGCAGTGGATAACGAACTCGCCTTGCACAAAGGCGGCTGGATTTCGATTCCCCGATCGGACGTGAAAAACGGTATGGGGTCACCTGACCAACCACGTGGGGTTTCTCAAAGTATTCCGGGCTTCCTCACACATTTAGACCTTCCGTGCGCTAAGATTTCTCACCAAATCGTGCTAAAATTGTTGCGTTGAGGAATCGTGCAAAACATATGGGTGTGTTCGCACCCGGCACGTGACCATGCATAACTTTACTCCTTATCTGAATTGTTTTTTTTTTCCTCAGGTTGATTTCAGCCGTGGTGTTTTTCGAATTAACATTAGTACACAACTATATGCAACAATTTTTTGTCAACTAACAGGTTTCAAAGGCTAAGATTAAAAGGGACACAAAGTCTCAATACAATATGAACCTATTAAGACAGTAGCGTAATAATTTGCTCTAGAAGTGCACATATATTTCTTTGTTATTATAAAGTATAACAATTTCCTGCTGTAACGGGGACTGTTTTATGAGGCGCCAAAACTAGCCATGTAATCGCGATGCCATAGTAATTGTATTTTTTAGAAGAAATTGGTTAAATGATTTTTTTGTAAACATTTGACTCTATCCGGGTTGAACTTCCGGCCAGGTGAGCTTAAAGTAAATAGGAAAAATTAGATGGTTGAAAACAACTACAGAATATTAAACACATATTTAGTATCTAGACGAAGCGAATCTGACTGCAGAGGTCATGACCTCCAGTGATCAATGTGTAGCGATTACCAGTCAACCGTGAGGTGCCATGTTAATGCTTCTGATTTGGCTAACCAGCGATTAAGTTGATAACCCAAAAAGTGTTTATTAACCTGGGCAGACGGGTCATGTTGGGGTTATTTGTGTATTGTAGATTTATTTTCAACATTAACTCATTGTTATGTTGAAATGAATGGTCGTAAAGTCCCCCTATATATACCACTGTGTGTTGACATTGGCGACATGCTCGCTAATATAGCATACAATCCAATCCCCTATTGATCCAAGGGCTTTTAGCTGAGCTTTTCTTTGAGTAAATATATTTTTTTTAATCTTAAATGTTATCGTAATTAATATTTGTTATCAAGATATATTAAGCTGAACGCCGTGATCAAATTCTCAACCAATGAAATTGAAAACACATAGGGCCTTTCCGTCAAAGCTTTGCAGAATTGGAAGGTTTTCTTCGGTGACGATCAAGAGACCAAAGTTGGTCTGCTGCCCCACATTGCAACACTTGCGAACTGTCTTTTCCTTTTTCTCTTTCCACCTCTTACGTTTCGATATTTTTTTAAATATACATTTTAAGTTAACATAATATAACCCACCATTCAGGTCGGGGATTTAGAAAAGAATATTCTTGCAGTTACCCACTGCGATTTGTAACAAACGAAAATGTGGGAACCTTTTGCAAAATTGGGGGATTGTTTTTGCGCACCCATTGCAACATTTGAGATCTTTAGATTTTCCCTCTAATTTCATGTTACATTTTTTTTCCCAAAGCGACTTGCTTGGCAATACTTTAGTTTTGATCTTAGTATTGAAATTAAAATGTACAACTGTCCCAAGAAATTAAAAAAACAAAATGTAGATAATATGAAATTGCGTCATTCAGTATTATTGAAAAAACACCGGTCATTTGTTATCATTTTGCTGAGTCATTCAACCTTGGTCAGTTGGCTATTTACGAACATATACGGTACCACGTGGATGTAACGGATTAAGTAGGTGTGACGTCATTGGGTTAATGCACTTAAAAGATCAGGGACTGTTTACGCGGTTTAAGTGAGAGCGACTTCAGGTTTTTTAACGTCAATACAATGAAAAAATAATCAGAAGAGGTGGACCGATATTGAGAATACTTTGTTCGGAAAATGTCATCGATTTTTATGATCGATTACTGTTGTTTTGATCAGGTATGCTATTATGAATTATGATATTTTCTAATATAAAATATGATTTTATTTCAAGAATATATACTTTGCTATGGAGATCAATTCACTTCTAAAATTGACATTTGTATTAAATAGTTTAATTATATTTCTTAACTATATAGTCTAATCACAGAATGTCACAATAGCCAAGGAAAGCTATCTAAAATGTATTGTTTTCTGAAGATTAATGATAAAGCTATAAAATAACGATACCCAGTTTTCTCTTGAAAATAAATCCTGTTTTATAAGAATGAAGACAATTCTAAAACGATGGAACTGTTAAATTTGATATGTCTCTGTATATTTCTACCTGTTTTTATCGTTGTGCTGGGGTTTGTCGTGTCCTTCCTTTCTCTTTCTCTCTGTTCTGGGGTTTGTCGTGTCCTTCCTTTCTCTGTCTCTCTGTACTAGGGTTTGTCTTGTCCTTCCTTTCTCTTTCTCTCTGTTCTGGGGTTTGTCTTGTCCTTCCTTTCTCTGTCTCTCTGTACTTGGGTTTGTCGTGTCCTTCCTTTCCCTGTCTCTCTGTAGTAGGGTTTGTCTTGTCCTTCCTTTCTCTGTCTCTCTGTTCTGGGGTTTGTCGTGTCCTTCCTTTCCCTGTCTCTCTGTACCGGGGTTTGTCGTGTCCTTCCTTTCCCCGTCTCTCTGTACTAGGGTTTGTCTTGTCCTTCCTTTCTCTTTCTCTCTGTTCTGGGGTTTGTCGTGTCCTTCCTTTCCCTGTCTCTCTGTACCGGGGTTTGTCGTGTCCTTCCTTTCCCTGTCTCTCTGTACCGGGGTTTGTCGTGTCCTTCCTTTCCCTGTCTCTCTGTACCGGGGTTTGTCGTGTCCTTCCTTTCCCTGTCTCTCTGTACTTGGGTTTGTCGTGTCCTTCCTTTCCCTGTCTCTCTGTACTAGGGTTTGTCTTTTCCTTCCTTTCTCTGTCTCTCTGTACTGGGGTTTGTCTTGTCCTTCCTTTCCCTGTCTCTCTGTTCTGGGTTTTGTCGTTTCCTTCCTTTCCCTGTCTCTCTGTACTAGGGTTTGTCTTTTCCTTCCTTTCTCTGTCTCTCTGTACTGGGGTTTGTCGTGTCCTTTCTTTCCCTGTCTCTCTGTACTGGGGTTTGTCGTGTCCTTTCTTTCCCTGTCTCTCTGTACTGGGGTTTGTCGTGTCCTTTCTTTCCCTGTCTCTCTGTACTGGGGTTTGTCGTGTCCTTTCTTTCCCTGTCTCTCTGTACTGGGGTTTGTCTTGTCCTTCCTTTCCCTGTCTCTCTGTACTAGGGTTTGTCTTTTCCTTCCTTTCTCTGTCTCTCTGTACTGGGGTTTGTCTTGTCCTTCCTTTCTCTGTCTCTCTGTACTGGGGTTTGTCGTGTCCTTCCTTTCTCTGTCTCTCTGTACCGGGGTTTGTCGTGTCCTTCCTTTCCCTGTCTCTCTGTACTAGGGTTTGTCTTGTCCTTCCTTTCTCTGTCTCTCTGTACTGGGGTTTGTCGTGTCCTTTCTTTCCCTGTCTCTCTGTACTGGGGTTTGTCTTGTCCTCCCTTTCTCTATCTCTATCGCTAGGTACTCCTTAGGGTATTAATTAAAACGGCGAAGGAGCGACCAAGTTCTAACAGTGTCATTGAGGAGTGACGTTAACGCAATACTCACGGGAAAACAAGGTGTTGCTCTGTTTGAACAAATTATCGGTAATTATTGATAATTTGAAGAATCAAACAGCAGCAAACTACGTTTATTTCATTTCAGTCAATGACGGATAGCTGTAAGAAACAGATAGCATACCCATCATAATATCTGGATATGGAAAGTATTTCTTACTTTCTTTTATTTCAATACTAGGAAAATTATTTACATCCTTTTCACCGATTGGATACCCATTTATAAATATCTTCTTTTTCTTTCAGTCTGGAAACATAACTGATGAAATTCGAGAGGGTAAGTTGTGCTTATTTGTATTTTTCATCGTTTTTCGTACCCACTAGTGCACACATATAAAATAAACAAGTAATATATATTTAATTGCCCATGGTCAACTTCCAAAAACTGTCATTATGCTTTGAAAAACAGTTTTCCGGCAAGACTATAGATTTGATAAATCATTTCTTAAAAGAAAATAATTTCTTGCAGGACTAAGCAAAATAAACAACAGGGCTAGACCAGGATTTAAACAATAAAGCTTAGATTGTTGCTTTAACCGACTGGACTGCTTATGCTACATGTACAGTTATATCCAAAACAAAATTACTGAGGATTTACTGTATTTTGTTTTTCCTGTGGCGAAAAGGTGATCCTTAAACTTTGATATGAAATTCATTTGTCGAATACTTTATAATTGTATTAAACAAAAACGTTGTACGTACACAAGTAGTTTTGGTGGTTATAAAAAATAACGCATCAATGCAGCAATATAGTGTTTGACTCGCATTTACGCCTTCCGGTTTATTCAGAAGATTGTGCGAACTATTTTGTAAACGTCCAGCTGCGACAGACCAAACCTTAAGATAGATACACAGACACCCGGATTTTGTTTAGACTGCAGGACCTCTGCTGTCAGCTCTATACGATTTGAACCAAATCTGACAAGAGCATAGACATTTCAATAACATTAATCATAAATAGATGAGTTGAAAGTGAGACATCGAGATCGATTATTGTAGCATTCTGTATACGATATACAAACACAAATATCCCTACGATACAGGTTGATGAAAACTATGTTTTAGGTTTGGTCGCCATCAAGATCTCATTGGGAAATATGCTAATTTTGTTTTAGGACAGATTATATTCTTTATGCTCTGTAATGTGGCCGGTTGTTTTGTTGTCACTGCCCAAGTTATGCTATGGGGACATGACATGAGTTTGACCTTTATTTACGTGGTAGATATCGTCAAAGTAGTTATTTTAAAGACGCTTACTCTTGCGGAATGCCTGGTCCTATTATCCTTGTACTTTTTCAAGGGTGGCCATGTAAATCTTTCCGTTCGTCATACTTTGCCATTGCTATTTCGGGTTCGGATTACTGTTTCGTTGACCATTTAGCATTGTTGTTTTATACATACATACTTCTATGTCTATCCGTGTCATTACAGAGATTAAAGAAAGCTTTGAGATGTTCGACTCGGACCACGATGGGAAAATATCAACGTCCGAGATTAAAAACCTTCTTACCAATCTTGGAATGACACCCGACAAGAGTGTCATTGATGACGTCATCAAGAGGCTTGATGCCGATGGTAAGCTACTTATATTTTGCTACATATGTAGTTAACTTTTCGATATTAACTCAATCGCCCATGAAGACACATTTGAACTCTTCCAATTCAAAGGTTAGAATAGTTCATCGTAAAATTTCAGGGGTAAATGAGTAAAACTGTGAAGATGTTTTGATACTACGCTAGAACGTCATAAAATTCGAACCACTCTCTCGGGAGGCTTAATGGTGGCTAGATTACGTAAAATGAAATCCATCGTTTCCCATTTTAAATGGCGTACGGTCGTCTGTGGTGTTAATAGGTATTTTAGAATCAAGCAAAGACGTTCAATTTGGCATTTCAGAGAACGGCACTGTTGAATACGATGAATTCGAGGACTTCATTACCAAAAGCGGCTTTCTGAAGTGTCTTCCAGACGAGACAGATCAGGAAATGTTGGCAGCCTTCCAAGTACTTGACGCTGACGGCGATGGGTTTATCACTAAGGACGAGCTCATAGATTTCATGTCACGTTTTGGTGAGTTTATGTAATGTCTTGTACTGGATTCCACATAAATTTAATGATATCAACTGCATCAGCGGGACAAATTACATTAATTCAAATATCGTTTGCTAACTTTCTTCCCAAACATATTATTTTATTTGGTAGCAGATTACGAAAAGATGATTCGGGTCATAAAAGAAGTTTGTTTATTCTTTTAATATCACAATGGTGGTCACCTGAGGATTGTTATACGTGTAGATGCACAAAGGTCAAGTCACAGGTCACAGTGACCTAATTCTTGCACTCTGCACTCCGTCATCCCAAGATGTCATTGTTGGTCTGGATTGAAGAATACAGGGGGTCTTAGTGTGGAAGGAAACCACAGTGCCGGAGAAAACCCACGTGGTCGAGCAGGTGACCCAATACTTGTTCAGTGCTCTATCCACTGCGCATCCCGATTACCCATACGGTATGCGTGATACAGAAAAAAAATAATCGAACCTGGGACCTTCGAACTCTAGGCAGACGCTCTAACCAGTTAAGCTTCTTGGTTGCCGGCGATCGACAAGTGAAGTTCCGCTACATTCTTCCCTCTTTTTTCTGATTCCTCGCCCCCGAAGACAACACTGTTTACAACCGAGGTTCTGGTATCTCCTTGCAAAGCGTACACCAAGTAGTTTAATAAGGGGTTAGTCACTGGCACCACTGCAACAGGAAGCTAGACCGGGATTCGAACCCAGGACCTCATAACTCTAAGACGAAAGCTCAAACCAATTGGGCTACCTGGTCGCCGGTGATCGACTCAGTCCATTTCCGCTACATGCATACTGTTTATCAAATTTTATGTGAAGGTGATAGGTTGTCTAAGCTAAAGTTATCATAGTAATGGAACAATGAGGTAGTTTGATATATATTTTTTACCCTCAGGCGATAAGAAGACGGAATCGGAGATTATGGACATGATCAAAGAGGCGGATGTAAATAAAGACGGCCGCATCAGCTACACAGGTATAGCACATGAAAAAGACAAACAAATATTGCACGGTGCTACAATTGTCTCAATACCAGTCTGAGTTAGCTCAATAATTAACATATTGTCATTGGGTTTGCCCGATGTAAAAGTACCACAATCAGTTAAAGCATAGTATTATGAAGCAATGAGATTTGGTTCTGTTGATTGAAACATCAGAAATTGGTCAAAACAAACCGTAGCCCGAGTTTCCTCTGGCTCTGACACCAGATTGATGCGGGGCCAGAGGAAACTACTTTGTGCAAACGTGGAATTATCCGCGAAATGCGGTATTATTTTTTTCATTCTGACCGTTTATGCACTATGTTGAAAAACGCTTGTCCGTACAACTCCTCCAAAAATTCTGGGCGAATTTCAATAGAAGTTTACAAATATGGTAATTACCCCCTGATGTCGTGCATCAGGTTAGATTTTGGTTGCTGTGTACAACATTCATAGCGGTCCTCGCCAACCCAGGAAAATCAAAACCAAACAACATACTTTCTTCTTCCGCGGAAGATCTTTAAATGCTGTGTTGATTATGATTAATGCTATAAAAGGATGAAATACATTTGAAAACGATCAATAAATCAAAGAAAAAATGTTAACATTTTACGAAAAGGCGAGTTTTTTTTCAGTGAGCATCATGAACTATATCAATCTCAGATTACTACGCTTTTTGGACCGAATAATTTCTTCACAAACCCCCCCCCCCAAAAAACTTCATCTCCTTCCGCGAAAGATCTTTAGATAATGTGTTCATTATTTCATGATATGATCAATGCTATGATATGGTGAAATAAATCTGTATAAGACAAAAAAAATCAAAGAAAATATGTAAAGATCTTTAACAGAAGCGTTTTTAATCAGTGAAAGTTCCGACCTATATTTGGTTCAAATTACTACGCCTCGTATTCCAATACTCTAAAGTGTGTGTGTAAGAGTTTTCTACCCTTGTCCATCATTGCGTAGTTTCATGCTCGCGACTTGTTGAACGACTGTTTTGATAACTGTCCTTGATAAAGTAGGCTTCGTGTTTTCTTTGTCTCGATTGAAAGTCTCCAAGTGAAAGAGAATGTTTACTTATACTAAAGTAGCCGTCAGCAGCTGTGCCTAACGAGTTTATAGATAGCTTCCCAATGCGACAGCAGCTGTGCCTAACGAGTTTATAGATAGCTTCCCAATGCGACAGCAGCTGTGCCTAACGAGTTTATAGATAGCTTCCCAAAACGACAGCAGCTGTGCCTAACGAGTTAATAGATAGCTTCCCAATGCGACAGCAGCTGTGCTTAACGAGTTTGTAGAATGACCTGAGTAGTATAATAGAAGTGCTTCGTGAATATAGCATATTGAACTTCAAAAATTAAAACTGTATATACATATTATTCACATTAATCAGAAACTGAATAATTATCGTTACAATATCGAGAAAAGGAGAGATACACAAGGGACTTGCATAAGTCCGTGATTACACGCACTGGAAATAATACAATCTCGTTTTATTTTTTTGTAAAATTAATCATGATAATAACAAATTGTGATGGTAATATCATAATAATTTATTTATATTATCTATATAACATTTATTTATTTTTATTTTTATTTAATTGTGAACTTTCCCATAATCTTACGGGACAATTTTGGTTTGCCGGGTTGTCTGGTCAAGGTCACACTGTTACTATTTTTAAACAGATCATTGTCTGCGCTTGAAGGATTTCCATCGATTTGAAACACTAATTAAGGACCATAATATCAGACAAGTTTCAATTGTTATAGCAATACTCTGCTTGTTATATATATTTTATTAAAAATTATGATTAAGGGATGGACTATTATGACTCTTACTCAACAACATGTTCTTTATTATTTACTGCCATTCTGTACTGATATACCACCTCCTTTATTCCATTATTTGAATCCTTCATACACAGCATCCATGAGTGCCCTCGGCACTTAATTTTTTTCATTTCGACCCTTTNGCTTTGCTTTACCGTAGTTAGCATTTAGCTTACAGTTCTGGTTTATGTAGGAGCGAGGGGTGTTAGTTAGTGTTTGACTTACAGTTCTAGTTTTCAATGTGTGTCTTGTATGCCCNTTAAGGCCCTTTGTTAAAAACATCTTGGTCCTGACATGTCTTCCCCAACTACTAGGACGATTGCAGCAAAACTGGTTCATCTGGGCTAACAAGATTTGGTATGCAAGCATGTTTTGGCATTGGGGTGGGGGTGGGGTAGG